AAATGATGATATAATAATGAGGATGATGACGATGATGATGCCTGCTGCTGCTACTGATAACGATAGAGTAATGGATGATAATGGTGAAGGTGATGATAATATAACGACTCCGATAACGATTGCAATGAATGATGCAGTGATAACGAAGATGAGGATAAAACCAAAATCAAGGAAATGTACGAAGCAGCAGAAATATTTAAACGAGGGACTTCATATTTTAATGGTATAAAAAATGCTAACTGAAACTTAGAAATCGATTTTTACAGATCCAATAGATAAAAATGAGAAATGTAACATTGATCATGATGTTTAAAATATGCTAGGCTGGTGTGAAGTTGAAAATTAACGTTTTTTTTGTGGTTGTCTCGGCGTAACACTATTTTTTTTATCTAATATAGGTGATTTAATCAAGAAAGCTTCACCTAACTCTGATAATAATAATTGATTTTTGTCTGTTGTGTGTGTTTATGTTATCACATCATACATGTTAAGAGGTTCTTTTCTGTCAGTACCTTTGCTGAAAAACACAAGCTGCTGTCTTATATTTTGTGCAAGTTGAATTTGATTGAAGCATTCGCATAGATATGCAAATAGCAGGAAAAAACCGAATAATTTGGTGGAAGAACTTAAAAAATGTTTTTAAATGCATCATTCAAAACAGAAGAACTGGAGTAGAAAAAAATAATTTGTCTGATAAATTGTGGAAATATCATCTAAAAAATACAATTCTACATTAAATATTCATTTTCTTCGATTATTACCGATGTTATTTTTAATGTTTCTTACTGTTCCCCGCAATGATGACTGCAAGGTTGGCTAAAAGTGCGTGCAATGTGCAATCGATGTTAACTTGGAGGAAAATTTTCTTTCTGTTTGTAGCTGGAAAATGTAGAGAAATGGGAGTAATTTCACGATTAAGATCGAATAAAGCGAATGAAATCTGATGTTCTTTTTGTAGGGGCGGTAACTAAAGAGGATGACCTTGCTAACTTGAGGGTCACTGATAAAACAGCAGTTTCCGTCCACCTAAGACACATTGTGATGTATGAGAAATTGTTACTTTTAAATATCAAATAATATTTAATAATTAAATGCACAATAAAATTATATTATGTTTGGATACAAGCTTCTGACATGATAATACAATAATACAAAATTAAATGAAATATGTTCGTTCGAGTGAAAAACGATTTCACAAAATCATCGTAGATATGATTTGGCAAGCAAAACACTACCAACTAGTTTATCGAACCTTGCAACTAACACAACAGAATTTAGTGTTGCTTGTGTTGTATTGTATGTGTTCTTTATGTTTTGAAGATGCAATTAAATTGCCTGCCTGTATTTACTCTCCTTACTTCAATTGCTCTGCTTTTGTTTACTAATCTATAAATCCAACATGCATATAAACCAATTTTTACTAAAAAAAATTTGTTAACAAATACGACATGAACAAAAATAATTCGTGTAAAGACGATTGTTACACGATAATGCAGTTGTGTGAACATGTTTCTCGATTATGCGAACTGAACGTGTGCACTGACTTTGTACTGAGTTTGATAAGATTAACGGGGCTTTAATGTTTTCAAACGTTCACTCTTATCTCATGCGGCTCAGTAAAATGATTCGGAATTAATCAATTACACCGCAGACTAACTTACAGCGGCCAATTACATTTAATCTAACACTCGTCTGCTCAGTTTTCATACATCCACCCTATTTTTTCTGTTTATTTCAGCGAAGTTATTTATTCCATTTATCTTTTTAAATTAACAGTTTGGTTGATACATTTATTTAAAAGAAGTAAAAAAATTTTTTTTAAATCATGTTTTTCTAGTAAAAAATAATTTAGTGGAACAAGTTATCATCAAGAAAAAATTATTTTAAAATTTACAAAAGCTAGAAAGTGTGGATCTCATTATATTATTGAGCAAAGCTTTGATTTTGTTTCCAAACTGTTGTGCAAATGCTAACGTCAGCAGACCAGCCCTCGCGTAACAATCACAACAACAGCAACAACATAAACAGAACATTAGCCAAATCAACAAATAAGCATACAAATACAATTTGAATTTAAATACATTTTCAAAACAGATAACAACAATTTGTCATCTATCTCGCTTCTAGCTTCAAGCCACTACAACCAAACAAAACAATAACAATAAATTATAATTTAACCAGGACAGACCCCAGCATAAAAAGCAATAATATCAACTCAAGCACTTACACAAATAAAAGCATCAATGACCTTTTACAACAGCAACAACAAAAATATCAACAACAACAACTGCATCACCATATTTAACAACAACAATAACAACATGATCATAATGAAAAACAACAATCAACCGCAGATCCAGGAGCGCAATGCAGCGAACGAACGCGAGAGAGCTCGAATGCGAGTATTGAGTCGTGCCTTCCACCGCCTGAAGACCTCACTCCCCTGGGTGCCACCCGACACGAAACTTTCCAAACTGGATACGTTGAGACTGGCCTCGTGTTACATCGCTCATCTCAGCAGAATGCTAGCAGACGATGGTGACGCCAATGCAGCTGCTACAGTGAAAGCTCTAGTGACGTCTGAACATGCGAGTGAACTGGTTAGAGGAGTGGTGGGCAGCTACTCACTGGACGACATCAACTTGAAGTCCTCCACTAAACTGGTTAGTTACTTTTTCAGAAAATTGTTCAATAGTTGTTTTCATGAATCAGTGTTGTTAAGATGGTGAATTTGTACTGACTATTTTTTTTCTCTATGATTTTTCGTCATTAATTTTGAAAAAGTAGAACCGATTAAATTGGTTCACAGTTTTTTGAATAGAAGTTGTTGTTGTTTGTTGTTAACTAATCAGAATTTATTGCGAGCCAGTTTTATTTCTTTCTTCCAACTCGTCGTCATCGTGTGTTGCCACCAAATGTGATCATGTCTGTCCATGTTTCCTTGATGTGCTTTTGCTGGTGATGGTAATATGCTAGAAAACGATTTATTCTGAAGTCTTGTTTACATCTGAGGAAAGAAAGACGAAGTAACAACAGCAATTAGTTCATTGTTGCCGGGACTGTAGTTTCGTTAAGAAGCAAATTAATACATCAACAAACATAAACCGCCATCTGATGCCTTGCAGATTGTGCTGCCGAAACGAAACATGTGAACGTGTGTGTGTGTGTGTGTGTGTGTGTTTCTCTGTCTATGTGTGTACATGTGTATGTGTATATATGTGTGTGTGTATGTATGTATGAATTTGTGTGTGCATCTTTGTGAATATCTATGTTTATGTATGTGTACTGTACACGTGTTGGCAATCTTATAGAACAAATATACTCTTTGAAAAAATATTTTTAGACATGTATGTTTGTAAACCAGTACGTATATGTGTTAATATTATTTGGAAATAAATTGCATTTTAACGTAAGTTTATGATTTTTTATAATTGTGTTTGTGTTGTGTGTTGTATGTTTGCAGTTGTGTTTATGCCTCTCTATGCAGCTTCTTGTATGTTTGTATATATCGTGTTTGTGAATTAGTTAGTTGGAATGCATTTGTGAATTAGTTAGTTGGAATGCATTTGTGAATATTTATGACTAAATATTCGTTTTTTGAATAATGTTACAAGCGGGTAATTAACATACTGTTTAGTATTGATGAATAATATTAAAATTGGAAGGTAAGCATAAATTTGGTCACAATTTGAAATTATTAACCAACAAATAATTGACTCATTCATAACCTAACTATACATCCATCCATCCGTCCGTCCGTCAATCAATTGATCATTGCATCTGTAGAGATCAAAGGATTCTTGATGTGAGCAATGAAGTTTGGGATAAAATGTTGCAGAATCAAGAGGTCAGAGGAGCAAACAATCGGAGAACGATTAATATGAAATAAAAAAAATTTGACCTCGGCTAAACAACATTGACACCCATACTTAATTCAATAAACTACAACGTCTCTTTGCTTTCTATGGACTAACTATCCATAGAAGTGTACTGTACAACACACACACACACACACAAACACACACATACATGAGCATTGTGTTTGTTTGAGGAAGACTGTGTACTTGTGGCATTGGCTTTGTGTGTGTCCCTTGTATGTGTGTGTGTGTGTGTGTTTGTGTGTGTGTGTGCGTGTATATGTGCGTGTTCTCCTCATACAATGAAGCAAAATAGAAAACATACTTTTGCATACTTACATACATACTTACTCCGTACTTTTGCAACGCATTTTACACCAGAGTGATGATGGGAAGATGAAAGCTCAAATAAGAATCACAAAACGTTGTTCCTAGAAATAAAATCAATTCACATTCCAATAGCATGCACTTTGTGTGCATGTGAAACAAATGCATTGGCTTTATGTGTTACTAATATTTGACTATAACATAAAATTATCACTCGGTTAGAAAATACTTTAAAATTATTTTAAGAATAAAATACTAACAACGAAAGGTCAACCACACAACACAAGTCATAAACAGAATGTAAAGGTCTCATTTGAGCAAGTTCAGACACCTTTGATGTGCTCTGCTGCTG